TAGAACACAAATATATGTAAATATAACCATAGACAATTCTTATCTTTGTTGATAATTATCTTTTCGTCGACGAATTCAAGTGTTAGAGTATAATAGCAAGATGTATGAATAAAGATGCTCTATTCTGATAAAAGACCTAGATATACACTACTGGCCAGAAGTCCCTGGACGTGTGAAAGTTCGAGTGAAGATCAATCATTTTCCATGATATTTTTACCAGAGATGCAGCTTGAAAAACTGTGATCGCAAGTACCAATCCGAGCTCGAATACACTGAGTAAAAGTAAAGTTATAGATCAAATACTGCTTTCAGTCTGGTAAACATAATTTCGATATTTAAAGATTTTCTCAACCTGGCTCATCCATTATTTCGAACTTTCTGCTTCTATGTTTCCGAATATCAGCAATTTCTTCTAAAAAATTTATGTCGGAGATGTAATAAGTAGCAGACTTCAAAAGCAAGAGTCAGATAGGTTGAAAATTTCTTTAAATATCGAAATTATGTTTACCAGACTGAAAGCAGTATTTGATCTATAACTTTACTTTTACTCAGTGTATTCGAGCTCGGATTGGTACTTGCGATCACAGTTTTTCAAGCTGCATCTCTGGTAAAAATGTCATGGAAAACGATTGATCTTCACTCGAACTTTCACACGTCCAGGGACTTCTGGCCAGTAGTGAATATCCATTTTTGCATCAAGAGTTACCAGAGTAAAAACTTAAAATTCAGAAATCTTTTTCAAAAGCAAAGAACAATCAGAATTTTTTTGAGCGAAATCAGAAATTATTCAGAAAAGGCATTGTTTTTGCAAATTAATAGCTAGTATGTTAATATGCTGGCAGCAAATACTTTACTAGTATTTTTTTTTAATCGACCTTACTTTATTTTCATAAATATCTAAGCGTACAGAAACGCAATGCAATAAATATAGTGCTTAGTTAATACGAAATCACAAAAGATACTTAGTATCGAACTCTTCCACTAGACTCGAATTTCATTCTCAAAAAATATACAGAAACAAACTAAATGCATACCATATAGGTTATAAAATTCTACGAATGAAAACTCAATTATATAATATCGAATCGATATTATTGTTCATATTTTGTCTTTTTCCACTTTAACAAGTGTAGTTGCGTTAAAATATGTTTATAAAATTGTTCGTAAGAATAATTACTATTCGTTCTTATTTAAGTTGAGCATCATTATACTAATGAGTTATAATCATATTTTACGTCACCAAGGAAACTACGACTCAAAGAGTTCAGAATTGAGAAGAAAATTAGAAAAATTCAGAAGAAAGTACCGAAGTACCAAAATCAGAAAAAAATCAGAACATCAGAAAGTATTCAGAAAAATTTTCAAAATTCAGAAACTTGTTATTTTTTTCAGAAGATCTGGCCACCCTGTTTGCATCATAGGTAGATTTGCGTATAGTTAGTACTGTTGTAGGTATTGGTGAGGCTCTTCATCCAGATCCAAACGCGCACCTTAGAGACATCCACGGCAGCTGAAAACTTGCCGTTGTCTCACTACAGTCCCAGAAAAATTATGGCTGCTGCGGTGTTGCGTCAACGCAGTGAGCTATATAAAAAGTTGCCGCTGCTGCATTGGTCGTTGGTGGATTCTTTGAAAAACTCTCTCGTGACTGTGCTAAATTTGTACAGTTAGATTGAATCCATCAAATTCACCATGATGCTGACTGCTGAACTTGCAGACACTCAAATCGGATGAAAACCCATCTAGTTTTACGATCTCTCTAAAAAAGAAGTTTCCAGTGCTGCACCGCTACCACGATAGCATTTCTGAAGTGTCTTCCGTGACACTGCCATGCTCTATACACATATCATGATTAACAAACATTGTCTTGAATATCGCACATATTTGGATAGAGAAAAAACAAACTTAAAATCAAACATAACGGACATTTTAATTAATTTTCACAGTTATAATGTAATTAAGAAAATGTTCATTTTTGAACCTATTGCATTTCATCTCCTGACAAATCATGAACAATGTTTTTCCATGAAATATAACAACAGAGTGTTACATAACCTTTGCCTTCCCCTCTACAACTTAAAATATCAATGATATCGCAAATGTATTTTATATCAAATTAAAGTGCGTCAAAAACTGAATTTATTGGTACTAAATGGTAAAGGTTATGAAAACTTTTTAATGTCGAATTTAAGAGATTTTCAGAAATTTGATACTTTTTTGGTGTAGAAAAGTAAGGTTGCAGTAGTTCAAAAATGGAATAAAACATTCTTCTTAAATATTTTTACATGGTTCGATAGAGCTCATCGAGCCGTACAAAACTACATATTTCAAAAATATTTTGAGCCATCTTCTTGAGATAAAAAATTCAAAAAAATTACTTGAAAAATCTCAAAAAATATTCAAAAACTTCACTTTTTTTCATATAACAGGAAAACACTCGATTTTTCAATAAAGTGAGATTTTGTTTATTATTTTTACTGACTCAGACGTTTCGAAATGTACTCATTCGATGTCGCATGAAAAACTGAATCTAATTAGCACATGTCGAAACGTCTGAGACAGAAAAAATAATAAACAAAAGCTAACTTTATTGAAAAATCGAGTGTTTTTGTGTCATATGAGAAAAGTGAAGTTTTCGAATAGTTTTTGAGATTTTTCAAGTCATTTTTTGAAGTTTTTATCTTAAAAAGACGGGTCAAAATACTTTTGAAATATGTAGTTTTGTACAGCTCGATGAGCTGTATCGAACCATATAAAAATATTCAAGAAGAATGTTTTTTTTCCATTTTTGAACTACTGCCATCTTACTTTTCTACACCAAAAAAGTATCAAATTTCTGAAAATCTCTTAAATTCGACATTAAAAGGTCTTCATAACCTTTACCATTTAGTATCAATAAATTCAGTTTTTGATGCACTTTAATTTGATATAAAATATATTTGTAATATCATTGATATTTTAAGTTGTAGAGGGGAAGGCAAAGGTTATGTAACACCCTGCAGGTTAGCATGTACGTGACTGTGTCAGAGTATTTATCTTTATTGCCAAATTCTATTCATAAAAGGTATTTCTTAATAATAACTTTGATAGAAAAAAAAGGTTTGACATTTGGCTATTATTTCAATAGAGTGACATTTATATAAAATAATTTCTTAAACTATTAAAAGCTATCGTATTTTACGTAGCAATGTCTTTGGCTAATTACTAACGAAATGAAACGTTTAAATCTTTAAAAAAAACTAATATATGTACTCAAATAACAAAAAAAAAAATATCATTCTATTCTTGTTTTTCTCTATTTTATTATCCATAACAACCATTCGACATTTTCTATTTCTATTTATTTTCAAATTAAAATGTCTGTTACTGATAGTAAGTTCTTCTTCTAATTTTTTTTTGTTAATAACGTCTTTCTACAGATGAGAAATCTTTGTCAACTGTCAAAGACAATGTTTATTCACAAGCGTTGGGCCAAAATGAATTTCGTAATCATACCTATCCATGGGGTATGGATCCAACTATATATCTTGTAGAAGCACGTCAACAATCACGTATTAATAAATTTCTTACGTTACGAAAATCTCTTACAACTATGACTCAATCATCATCATTAAATAAAGAACACAAACAAAATGATATTTATGAAATTACAAATATATTTGAAAATTTAAAAACTATGCGTTCTGAATTATTAGCATTAAATCAATCTGATACTGACAGTGCTACGCAATTTGGAAAAGAAATAGCAATTATTATAACTGATTTACTCTTACGTGTTGTTCATCAAATAGGTCAAACAAATATTCATACACCGACATTAGAATCAATTATTGCTTATATAAGAAGTTTAATGCATACAAGATCAGAACATATGCGACAAACAATACCTGGTTCATTATTAATATCATGGTATGAATTATCACATTTAATGTCATCAATGCAAAATGAACCAGAATTAAGAATAACAAATATAAAAGCAAGACAATTAATAGATGTTGCTCGTGATACAGCTGCTTGGGCTTATAAACATCTAACGACAGAACGTTTAACTAATGAGCGAATTGGTTTTAAAGATCGAAGTAGTTTAGCTTATACTTATGAATGAAAAATTAAAAAAAAGACAATTATTGTCTAATCATTTTGAATTCAATACTGCGAAATAAAAATATTTTTTTTCTTAATTGTTCGATTTCATCTTTAAGTCAATTTTCGTTGGAAAAATTGAAATTGAGATAAATGCATGGAAAGTCAAGATACAGGACATAACAGAATCGCTTTTTTTTTCGAATGAAGCTTTGTTATTCTTATATATAGAAGAATACTTTTATAATTAGAACACCACTTTTTGAGAGTTTTTCGAAACTTTGAACTTTTATCGTCTTAAAAAGTAAGAATTTTAAAAAGAAGGGCTCAGTATTTGTTGATTCTTGTTCGTCGAATATCTCTCGAAAATATTATTCTATAGGGTGGAAAATTTTACTATAGTCTTTTCTGATTGAATCATATTTATCAGAACTCTTTATAATTGCATAATCTAAAATAAAATTTAAGATATCGTCATCAAAAGTATCTTTCATAATGTTTAATAATAGTTGAACTCGAATTTCTAAACATAATTTAATTCATTACTGAATTACAAAAATATTCGTATAAACTATTCATGAAAGACATTGATTGCTCATCATTGCAAGTATTTCTTCACATAATAATTGATTTATGATATCGACAAAAAAAAACTTTCATCTCTCAATTAAAAAAAAGCCCTGAACATGAATCTGTATATGATAAAGATTAAGAGTAATGATTAATTTATATCGAAATTTTAATTCTTTTTTTCTTTTTTTTTCATACATTGCCATGATAAACAAATAAAAAGAACATAAGTACATGATTACTGAGCAAAAGTACAAGTCTATCATCTACCTACAGCATGAAAAAAAAGAAAGATATTGTCGTAATCATCAATAGTACCGGTAACTGATAAGCATCTTTTTTTTTTTGTTCTTTTCTTACCTTTTGTAGTACCTTTTCTCTTTCATTTTATTCATTGTCAACGTTTGTATTAAATACAATTTCTATTAAAATAAAATGACTGAACAATTATCGAAACATAATAACATTTATTCATCATATTCATCAGTTCATGATATGATTAGAAAATTTAATATACTTGGAAAAGTAAACGATTCTGCATTTGTACCAATTCAATTACAACATAACACACATTTACTATCATCACCAAGTTCAACACATAGATCAACAATGAGTAAACATGATTCAAATCTAAATGAAATTGAACAGAAAAAGAAATCATCAAATGAAATATTAACTCTACCAAAAATATCAACAACATCAGTTCATTTTCAATCTAATCTACAACAAAAAAGCATTTCAAATTTATCAAATTCTGATATAAATAAGAAAAATACAGAACTAACATCCGTTTCAGTTGATACTTCACCAACTGTTATCTATAAAGAACTTCAAAGTCCAGTGAATAATAGTCAATCAAATTCAAGACATAATAGTTTTGATGATATTGAATTAAGATTAATCGAAACCATAGATACGCGAAAACAAATAATTGATAATCATAATAATATTCAATATTCATCATCATTTATTGAAAATTATGAAGTAAATGATATCCAACAACAGCCAATAGATATGTCTTCTTCTCCTGGACTGCCACCACCACCGCCACCACCAGTTTTTGCATTGCCACATGTTCAACAAGAATCGACTTATCACCCAAAACGAACACTTAAATTATCAAATTTTTTATTGGAAATAGGTGTATTAATTACTATTTTTATTGTATGCATGGTACTTGTCTTAGCTATACGACAAGATCAAGTAAATCTTCGAATAACAAAGCAGGTATATTGCTCTTCAATAAATAATTCTTTTCTTTTTTATCTATTATTTTGGTTCTCAGGTTGTTTATACATATATTTATTTTGTTTCAATTATTTGGATGATATGGTGTACATTTGATATAATAAAATTTCGTCAACAATGGATGGAATTAACATCATCAGTTCATGATCAAGAAGAATATATGCATATAGTTGAACATTATCCACATAGAATATCATATTTTCCTGATATGTATAATACTAGTGGTTTATTTATGAGGATTGGAGCTGGATGTAAGTGTTGAAATTTTTTATGAACAAATTAATTTTAATGATGCTTTCGATTTTTAGTACTTTGTATGTGTAGTCTTATATTGAATGTTATACAATTAGTAAAAACAATTGAAATAATACGAACTGGTTCAAAACAAAATGAACTACTTTTAATTAATTATTCACAATCAGTTTTTATAACTAAATTAATTACTTTTATATTTCGTTTTCTTTTTCATTGTGTGCAATTTATATTTTTATTTCGATATGGAAATGTAAGTAGTTGAATGAAATTGTTTTCTTTTTTTGTCATTTAGAATTTCCTTTTTATAGATTGTTATTGATCGTTATCATTTAATGGCAAAAATTGGTCTTATTCATATAATTATTGCTAATTTTTGTACTTGGTTTGAAGGTAAAAGAGATAACTTATTAAAACCTAACAATGATTTCTATACTTTTCTTAGCTATTGTAATTGAAACATTGGATGAATTACGTAAACATTCAAATAGTATAAAATCAGAAAATATACCAATGATTTTCAATACAACAAAAATAAATAAAACAATAAGTTCAAAATCAGGTATTTAAAAAAAATAGAAACAGAATTGAAGTGAAAAAGAATGACAAAATAAGATTATATTATCGACATTTAATTTACGAACAATATATTCTTTCGCTGCTATACCTATGTATAGATAAAAATAAAACAATATGTCGATGGAAAATAATAACATTTTCAATAAATATTTGTTTTTTGATAACCAATATGTTATATCAATCAACGTTATTAGTACGGAAAAAAAAACAAATTTTTCTTATTCCTAAAAATCAATGTTCATTAAGTATATTCTATTTCTTTGAAATCAACAAAAATCTATTTGATTTTTATCAACTGACGAAATATCAACAATATTGTTTCAGCTGTCCTTGTCACATCCCACACTCTATCAAAATTCTACGAGTGTAGGATGACATTTATCTTGTATGATATATTCTGATGGATAAGCAATGTAGCTGTCAATTTAATTATTTCACTGAGAAGATGACAGTGAATAATTCTTTTTCTTGATTACAAGTCTTATCATGTCAACTGAAATTCAATCAAAAAATAAATCCTGTAAAAGATAGTCTTGCTAATCCTTGTTCATATCGGTAAATTCTATCTTTTCAAAAATTAAAAACGTACTCTTTGAATTTTCTATATTGATCGATCAAATACAAACTTCACATCATAGAAGAACTCTTAGAAAAAGAAGAACTTCAATCTAGATAAACAATTCGTTTATCAGGTTAAAAAAGAATTCTCAGAATATCACATAGAATATATAGAGAATGAATACAACCCAAGATGAGAATCTATCAAAGGCATTCGAAGCTCGAACTCTTTACCAGTGATGTCACAATAGAAGTTTGTGACAGTTTTATTCTATAATTATATTCTTTCAGATAGAACAAATTATTTTATCTAAACTAGAAATTTTATCTAGGAAAATAATTCAGAAAAATTTTTAATAATTATTTTTTTTTGGCTATTTTTTTAAAGATGAAAGGGCATCTATTTCATGTATATCTTTTGGTATGATCAATTGTCTTAAAGAAATTTCTGCTGATGTTTCAATTAACAGATCTTTCTCCAATAGTTTACATAATACTACAACAAATTCTCTTAAATTGATTGAAAAAATTGAATCAATAATGAGTGTTTATTTATATCCATGTTTCATTGAATACAGTCTTATATGTGTAACTGTATTTTATATTATGTGGCGTAATGTTGGCAAAAATGAAAATCGATCATTTTTACATTTTGGTGATCGTCATATATTTACAGTAGATTGTTCTCGTGCATCTCATGGTTTACTTCTTGGAGGCATTATTTTTATATTAACTATATTAACACTTATACCAGTTTATATTCTTAATTCAACATTAACAATTCTAATAACACATATAACGGAACTTATTTTACTTGTTGTTTCATTATTAATTGTTTGTATATCATTTTCTTATACAACAAAACTTTATTATGATCGACAAGCACATGTTGATGTATTCGATCAAATATTAATTTTAGTAACAACAGTTGGTGATTTTGCTTATTCATTTTTTGGTTTATTTGCATCGATATTTATTGAATCGTATAGAATTCAATTTTCAAGATTTATTGCAATAGTTATAGGTTTTTTATCTATTTTACAAACATTTTTACAATCTGGTTTTATTTTGGATACTTTAAAACGACGATTAATTACAAAAAGTGAAATAAGAAAAAAACCAGGACGAGAATTAATAACTGCCTTATTATTAATTAATCTCGGTAAGCAACCATTATTCTTATTTATATGAAAAGAAAAACACAATTATCAAATGATATGTCATTTTTATTTATCCAACATACATATGTATAGTTGACATTAGGTCAAAAAAAAAAAGGTAACATTCATAAGGCAAACTTTGTTATTTCCAAAACAAACAAATATATATATATATTCTTGGTTATTTCTCATATTATTTGTTTTTACTTGGAGTGAACGTATTTACATTAAATTACAAAAAAAAGGTCTAGCACTTCTTTCTAAATGTTTTTCTAGTTGTCCACAAATATTCCTAGCATATGCATAGTACATTCACAAATGTCACAATACATTCATTATCTCTCGTAAATATGATATTTAAGATAATTGACCTTTCTACTCTGAAACAGTTAAAAATTAAAGATACGTTGTTTTCTTTTTTTTGAAAATAATTTTTTCGTTGTTGCCATAAAAGTTTTCTAATTTAGCTATATGGATGCATGATTCATTATCAGCAAATAAAGTTAAACTTAATCCAATACAAACTGAATATTATAATAGTAGAACATGGTCATTAGTTCAAGCATTTACATCTCCATTATCAATATTTTATCGATTTCATTCAAGTGTATGTCTTGCTGATATTTGGCAAGAAGTTTATCATGATCATAGAAAAAATCAACGATTTGGAAGACAAGATTGATTAGATCATTTGACAACAATGAACAATATACATCATAATCAATATTAATATTTTCAAACATAATTAATTCTTTTTTTTTATGTCGATAATAAAATTTTTCATAATTTTGGATAAAAAAAAAAAAAGAAGTTTGCTGTAAATCAATGCTAATAATTGGAAAAAGATAAAAAAAAAAGATTCTTGTGTGTCATGTCTTTTAATTATAACATATTCTTTTCCTTCCTATCATATTTACATACTACGCAAAAATATATTCGACCTCAAGACAAAATAGTTGATTTAACACATCCAATAAGAGATATTTTATTACTCTGCTTAGTAACAACTTCCCAGAATATGTTAGACAATTAGACATATGAGACTAAAAGTACGCATGTATTTGAAAAAAAAAGTAGGTTAACAAGCGTTATATATCGTATTTTGAATTTTAATTATATTCTTTAGTATCATGATTTGAGTAACCATTAACCAAAAAAAAGTATAATTGTATTTTTAATAAATTTCATTGATTAGAAGTTATATATGAGTAAATAAGGGTAATAAATAAGAATATGAATCATAGTTTATATCTACAAATAAAAGCAAAGGCAAATAAGGGATATGCTTATTATTTATCTATGTCATCTGTATTTAGTATAATAAGAGATAATGACTATCAGATGTTTTATTTTACGGTAATGATCTAGTTAACTTTAATATTATTGTCTACGCTTAGAGAAGAATATAAATTTAAAATAAGATTGCATTATTAAATAGAATACGAGTGAATTTTATTGTTGAATATTTTCAAAATCTAAAGATTTTAATTAACTTGTAAATAAAAGTAGAAAACTCTTCGTCAATTAATTTGATCTTCTTGTCAAACGAAATCATATTTATATAATATTAATTGTCTTTAAGTCTATAATATTGTTTGTCTTTTTCTACCTAATTATTTTTAGCTTATAGATTAAAAAACAAAGAAAGGATATGTTAAATTTGCATTAACACCTTTCGTTACACGCAACTAAAGTCATATCAAATCATCTAATATTTCCTGTTTTAAAAAGCGTAAGTAACACGAACAAGTATTTTCTCAATGAATTTGCATTATTTTTTCTTTTTTATTTATCATTCAAAATATAGTTCAGTAAGTATTAAATATATATTTATATATGTTTACTTATGAGTGAAATTTATTGAATAGCACATTGACATTACTTCTATTTGGAAATTAAAAATTATGATTGACTCTGATTTTTCTTTCACAACTGTAGATTTCAAAATACATTAATTTATAAAATTACGTCAGATGTATGTACTCTTTGAAATTTAATCTATATTCATTTCGGAAATTTTTCAAATATCTAAAAATAAACAGTATCGATTGTTGTGTCTATCCTAATCTGTCCCCCGCTAATGTAATCATAAATATCATTTCTATTCTTCAGTGAATCGTTCTTGTTTATCCGAGTATAGTAAAAAGCAGACATAGTCAGAACTATCTTTATCATATCTATATAGAATGCATAGGTCGTAACAATCTGACATTTGACACAAGTTTTATACAACTATACAAAAGTATCGTTCTCAAAAAAAAAGAAAGTGTTAGTTCTGGTCCTGGATAATTAAAAAAGGTGTTACTTCGATCTCAGTTAAATAAAAAACGTTTTGTCTTGATGTCGAAACCATCTTAGTCATATCTAGTAAAATCATTCATTTAACTTTACTATTATTTACATCAAATCAATTAACTTTTGTTTTTCATAAATCATCAAGTTTTTATTCAAATAGTCGAATACATTTAAAGTAAAAATTTTCTTTTGATTGATGAATAGCGACATCATTTACTGGATTTGTCATCACTAATGATCAATAAAATACATTGCCATTTTCATTGTCATTACTTATGTATCTTCCTCTTTCATTCTTTTCATTACTTAAACGATATTCTCCTTGCATAAACAAACCTTATTAGTAAATTGTACTTGATAGATTATCTATGTGATAAGTATATTTCTTTTTATTCAAAACTATTTTACAAAATTATCTCAGGTAAAAAATCAATATTTATAAAGTACCTAATCAAACATATATGTATATATATATATATGTATTATTTTTAAATATTAGGCATAATGGCAACTTCGAATAAAAAAAGCTCAACATCTCACGATGTCAGTACAGATACAGATGACTCTGATTGTGCAAAAAATTGTTCAGATTCTAATAATAATAGTGAAAGTTCATCATCATCTAAGTATCGAGGGTATTAACAATAAAAAAACAAAAACAAAACATTAATCTTAAAAATCATATTTGTTTTGTTTTTTTTTGAATAGAACGAAACGAATCAATAATAAAATAAAACCATGTCTTGTACAAAAAACATCAACAAGTGATGAAGAACTTCAATTACATGAAACTAATCAAATCAAATTATCATCAACACATATGGGACGTTCAAATGAACAACCAACACATGGAATTCTTAAAGTTCCTAGTGGTAATTATCATTTATTTTTTGTCTTTTGTTTTATATATTTCGTGTGTTTGTTTTTTAAGGATCAACAAGTCCAGAATTACAAGTACCAAATCATCCAATAAAACCTTTAAAAATAAAAAATAAATCAAAATCATCATCACCAACTTCAACAAATGATCATTCATCAAATATAAATGGTGCTCCAATTCATCAAAATCATCGTAATCGTCATAGAACTATTGATGATAATCGATCAAGTCCAAATAAAATTCAAACAAATAAAAAAACTCAAGAACAAACAATTGTATCAACATCAACAACAACAAATAATTCTGATCGTATTACAATTGTTGTTGATGAAACAAGATTTGTTATTGATCCACAATTATTTCGTGCACATCCAAATACTATGCTTGGAAGAATGTTTAGTACATCATGGGAAACATCACTCATACCTAATGAACGAGGAGAATATGAAATTGCTAATGGAATATCAGCAACTATATTTCGAAGTTTATTGGTAAGAAAATTAAATCTTTTGAATTTTTAGAAATAATTCTTTTTTTTTTTCCTTCCTATTTAGGATTTTTATAATATTGGAACAATACGTTGTCCACCTTCGGTTAGTATACAAGATTTACGTGAAGCATGTGATTATTTTCTTATACCATTTGATCAATTAACAATTCAATGTCAAGATTTATGTAAGATTTGTTTTTGTTTTATTCTTTTTCAAATGTATGTTTTCTTTTGTTTTTATTTAGGTGGATTATTACATGAATTATCTAATGATGGTGCAAAAAAACAATTTGAAATGTTTCTTGAAAATGATATTTTCCCTGTGCTTGTTGAATCTGCTCAAGTAAATTCGAATTTTCAATTTAATTATATTGATTGAATTTTTTTTTTAGCGCGGTGATCGCGAATGTCAAATAGTGATTTTATGTGATGATGATCTCATCGAATGGGATGATGATTATCCACCACAACTTTGTCAGGAAGAAGATAAAGCTCAAAGTAAAATATTTTAGATTAAATTAAGTAATATTAAACATATTTTTATTTTTTAGTTATACGTTCAACTGCAATGTATCGATTTTTTAAATATATTGAAAATCGTGAAGTAGCTAAATTGGTGCTAAAAGATCGTGGTTTAAAAAAAATTCGTATGGGAATTGAAGGTTATCCAACACATAAAGAAAAAGTTCGTTGTCGTCCTCGTGCTAGACCAGAAGGTTAGAAAAAAACACAACAATCATCCAAGTCTTTCTAAAAAAACATGTCTTTCGTTTTATGTTATAGCTATTTATAGTTATATTCAAAGACCATTTCTTCGTATGTCTTGGGAAAAAGAAGAAGCTCGATCACGTCATGTTGATTTTCAATGTGTACGAAGTCGGTCAGTGAATAGTCTTATTGATGCAAATGATGGTAAATTGAAAAAATCTCTACAAAAAAAAGAAAAATAAACGAATGATATTAAAATTTCTTTTTTTTTTTTTTTTGTATAGATCAAAATTCTGGTAATGCTCTACTTTTTCCATTTCTAGAAATTGCTCAAAATCAAATAATTCCACCACCACCATCACCTAGAGAACTATTTCCTGCATTAGCACCATTTTCTTCATCAGGACTTCTAGGCGATACATCATTAACCGATTAAAAATTATATGATGGAGAATGTTCGATCTTTCGTTTCTTTTTTTTCTTTTTCTTCTTTCAATTGTACACTTAACGTCTCCTTTTCTTGTCACAAAAAATTGTCTCTTGTGTGCGTGTTCTCGCATTGAAGATAATGAAAAAGCAACTAACGCAAAAAAAAGTATTGTGTATTATGTATATATTAGTAGGATATGATTAATTTAATTTTTAACATATATTAAATACGTTTTTTTTTTGTTTTAAAAAAGAATCATGCAGTAAAATGGATATTAATGAAGAATTATAATAGACGAATGAGATTGATTGTGTTAAATATGAAAGAACTACGTGTATTAGAGAGCATTAACAAATAAACTAAATAAATATTTGATTACAATCAATTTTATCGTTATTATGAGATGTATGATCATAGAATATGCTGGTATTGTTCATTTCAAATGATAATCAATCAAAAGAAGATAGAAAATAAAGATTTGCATTAGTAGTGAAGTCAGAAAAAGATGACTCTGGAGAGGCGGACAAGAAAATCTCTACAGTTCTCAAGTTATTTTTCAATCGAAACGATGTTCATTTGATAAATGCTACAGAGTAATAGAAAAATCTAGAATGGGTTGATTTTCCAAATCTTTGTTCTCGAGATATTGAAATTTTTGCTGCTTTTTTTAACAAAAAAGGTGTAATCACGTGGAAAATCGACTTTCAACTACAAACAAAGTTCATACTGAGATTAGTTCATTGTGTAAATTTTAGCTTCTCTAGTGTTTTCTTTCTGGAAGTACAAATATATGAACAAAATTTACTTTTACACATGAGAAAAATTTCGAATATCTCAGAATAGATTGATGCTACAAAATTTACAACTCATCTCATTGAGAACTTTGTTGATGCAAAGTTTGAAATTGAAATTCGAAAGTTGTTTTTTTTCATGTGATCTAAGGGAGATCACAGTTAAGCCAGTAAACTTTTTGATATTTCGATAACGATGGCCTAGAAAATTAAACCAGTCTAGACTTTTTTAATTTATTCATCAAAGGAACATCATCTCGGTTGGAAAGCGATTTGACATTTACAGAAATTCTCTTGTGAGCTACCTCCTGGCTCCGCCACTAATCTACATAATTTTTACAGATTACATAGATATTAACGTATTGAAATATTCTTTTCTTTTATTGAAATTTAATTTAGTTTATCTCATTGCAATTAATAATAAATTCAATACAAATCTATTTGCTCGATTTTCTATCGAAATCATTGATATGAATTTGTCAAATTTTTTTTAACTAATATTTAAGATTGATCTTTTTCGATACATAACATGTACTCCTCAATATAATTTTCAAGGTTTTTATTAATGTATGATATACATCTACTAGAGCGTATAGATAAGATCAAATTATTTTCAATAAATACTTCTATTATAATTGTTTTCTCATTTATTATTAACTTCAATTAATGATAGTATACATTATCTTTTTCAATGAATTATTGAACTGTTGTGTCGCTGTAATCGTAGTCACATATGCGTAAACGTTTTAAACATATACCACTGGTTGTTTCTCTATCCATATTTTATTAATTTTCATAGTTAACGTGTTCTACACTCGTCTGGTTAATCATCGTAACCGTCGTCATTGAATATAAAAAAAAAATTTTTCTCCATTTATATCTCATATGATTGATATTGTGCATATTGTTTTTTTTTTCGTCTTTTAGATGTTTACCATCAATAATCATTTTCATGCATAAACATCATAGAAATGTCAATTTTCACCTATTTTCTTTCGTACGATATCAATTTTGGCCCTTACTCATACCGTCGATAGCTGTTCTATTTTTAACATTTTGTCCGCAAATATCTCAATCAATTGAAGTTAATATTAATGATTATAATCAACAAATTGAAAATCCTGATAGGACTGTAGCTAAACTTGCTCCACGTGAAATTCAACTAACAACAACATTATCACCACCATCATCACTTTCAGTACCTTCAACATCGTCAACTTCAAATTTTGATGAATTTATGTTAGTAGGAAATAAGTTAACTAATTGAGAAATTTATTATCTCAAAAAAAAAAAAGACTATTTAGTTGAATATTTAACAGAAATCAAATATTTCTTGTTTTGTTTTTCTTTTTAGTCATACTTTATATGTAATTTCTTTGGATGGTAAAATAACTGCAATTGATGCTCATGCAAATGGTCGTCAATTATGGACAGTTGATACAGGAGCACCATTAATTGATTCAAGTTTAAGTAAAATTGAAATATCTCGTGATTCACGATCAGTTCGTCTTATTCCATCACTTATTGGTGGTCTTTATGAAAAATATGATGAAGATGGACATGTTGAACCATTACCATTTGATGCTGGTGATTTACTTGATGCATCATTTAAACTTCATGAAGAATTAGTAATAACAGGTGGAAAACATATTGATACACTTGGTCTTGATTTACATACTGGACAAGTATGAAACAAAGAAAAAATACAGAAAAATTAAATCTTTTTATTTTGTTTTAGGTACTTTATTCATTTTCAAAAGATCATCTAAAACAAAACAATGCATTAGATAGTAACCGAACAACAACAGATAATACTGAATTTCGATCAACCTTAATTGTTAAACGAACAACACAAACTATAAGAGCGCGAAGTGCTCGAAATGGATATGAAAAATGGAATTTTAGGTAAAAAAAAAGTTTTTTTTTTTTTTTAAATCTTCTTTAGTAAATGGAAGTCATATTAATTTAGTGTTTCAAATCATGAATTACTTCATTTACGTCCTCAACCAGCTGCGGTTGTTCTTGGGCAAGTTGATCCTGAAACAGCATTTTCCGGTAAGAAAAAGAAAAAAAAATAAATCTTTGAAATAAACTATTTATTTATTTACTCATTTTAAAGGCTATTTTGAATATCAGTTACAAACTGGTGTTGTATTAGCATTTGATAAAACTGGACATCCTACTTGGTCTTCACCAATTAATGCACCAATAGCTGCTGTATGGGAATTAAAAAATGGTCAATTAAGTGAAAAACCTTTATTTGAAACAATAGCATCAAATCATTTTTCAATAGATGATCCAAGTAAAAGAAAAAAAACAATAATTCTCTTTATTTATTTTCTATGTTTCACTCTCTGATCCTACTAATTCCAAAGGGATAGCTACCTAATAACAAGTGTATCTGTTAGGATGGTATGTAAGACATTAGCAAAAGCAAAAACAGAACGCAGAAGATGAATTCTTATGATAAAGGATAATTGACAAAGAGATCATTTTAAGAGAAACGAAGAACAACCATATGCATTAGAATATCTTTGGAAATTTAGCATAGAATTTGATAATCAATTTTAGATATTGCCAGATGCATCTACATATGAGACAAATCGTTTAGAAAAGTAGAGAGAACTAATTGATCTTTTCTCTTCTTATCACTCCGAGCAATTCACATTTAAGCATGATTGCTTTAGTAACAAATAACCGTTCAAGGATTTATCAATTCTCTTAAAATATTTTGTCCAATATACATAACATAGATCATCAAGTGTACGTTCATCGTAAACGAATGTGAAAAATAAATCGTTTCGATAAAGATAGTGATAAGCTCGTTTGAGTGATGCACAATAAAAATGATTAAGATTCATTTGTTGCAAATCTAAAAATAGAGCGGCGATGTTCACAGGACAGGGTAACATCCTGCAAACTGAAAAATCAGATTTTCGAATTTTTAGTCCTGAAAAGAAGTATTTTTTCAGTCTTTCAGAGTTAAAAAACAAAAATAGACTGCCAAGGGTGGTATCGACTAGTATTCATAGTGTTTCTCTATAGACTTACGTCCGAATGAAAGGGGTAGAATTAAAAAATAAGTAAAATGACTATCGTAGTATTGTGTTTGTATTTTTTATTTTCGTGTTTTTAGCAGATTAAAGCAAAAATTTAAGTTATGAGTTCTATATCATCTGATTCCAATAATGAGATTTGCTAAATATCTACTCATGATTTTACTGCTCAATCAAATACATCTTTATGTTGTCTTGTCGGTCATTATACTTTATCCAGCAACTTGATAGTGTTCTTTTGGATATATAGTTGTCAAAAATAAAAGGAATGATTTTGAACATAGCAATAATTTCATCAGCCGTTTTGAATATTGTCATACGTTTCGTTACAGGTTTGCAAGTAGAAGAAAGCACTTTGTAAAGCACACAAATCGATGCTTTCAAAAAGTCAAGAATATGATTATAATATTAAGAAAAGATGATGACTTGATCTATGTCTCTCGTTTGAATTTGATAAGAAAAATAAGACAATAGAACAAGAGTGTCGGCTTAGCATTACCATTGAATTAATCTAATGCTGACAGCTATACTTTTTTCTTAGGATCGTTACACAAAAGCATTGCTGCCAGCATTAAGTTAATGCAATGCTAATATTAAGTCGAAGTCTCTACGATAGAACTCTTAAATTTTATAAAAATCATAAAAACTTTCTATTTCTTTCAAAATATACTCGATTGATTTTATCTATTCCTGCAACAACAACGAGTGTAGAAAGAGAATTTTTCACTGTTGATTAAATTCTAAACTTTGAAGAAAAAAATCTTCAACCAGATAATTCAAAGAACATTTTATTAGTAAGATCAACAGAAAAACATTTATATAAGAAAAAAATTATTTATCTCTGGTGTATAGAGCACATAAAGTTATGTAAAAAAAAGATAATGCAAATGG